TGATGACCATCAATTGTACCGAAAAGAAAGACCACATCGAATCAAAAACTAAGAAGAAGAAACCGAAAATTATCCATTATCGAGTTGTCATGTTACATATTATTAATATACGAATATAATAACTGACCTAATGGCCATTTTACAGCGAAATGAGATAACTTTTATCTGGAAATCCCTTGTTAATCCTTAACCATAATTGCTTGAGAATTCATGATGATGACAATTGACGGAAATGGGGTAACCTTATTTCCTCACCATCTCCCTGATTATTCAACTCGGAAATTAGTTTCATTTATGGGAAACAACATTTTCCAAGTGTATAAATTGAATTTTCAGTTTATCTTATTCATATTCCCAGAGAAAAAAATATTATCTTTCATTTCAATTGATTATCATGGAGTTGTTATTGTTAATAATATGAAATTTACATGATTAATACACCAAAGTGTGTGAGAGAGAGAGTGTTGAATATGTTTAAAAAAGAGGAATCAGAAAAATCTCATATCCTCATTTCCGTTTGAACTTGACTTGACCTTACCTAATGAGCTAATTTAATGATCAACTTACATAACAAATGAGTTGATTAATCAACATACTCCCAATCATTTAATCAAAACGATTGATAATCATGATGATAATTCAATTGTCATATAATTTCATTAGAAAAAAAAAGTTCAATTTCTTTTATTTCTCCACATCTCTTCAACTATGCTTTCAGCAAATTAAATAATCAACTATTACATATGAATATCATCATGAAAGTATTTATCTCAATTCACTCATTCAACAAACTGGGAATTGATAATTGAATATACATATGAAAATATATCCAACTAAGTCTGATTCGTATTATTTTTAGTGCAATGAGTATGATTAATGATGATTATTCAGTCATGATGAATTTCACCCAAAGTTCTGATGATAACTTTGTATTCGTCGGTAGAAAAACATTATTAATATTATCACCATGATGATGATGAAAAAAAAACCGGAACACAAGGTTAAATAAATAGGGAAGATGATGATGACTTAAGAGAGGCAGAGAGAGAGAGAGAGAGAGAGAGAGAGAGAGAGAGAGAGTATAAACATAATATTACAAGAATATGAATTTCATCCAGAATCATCATGGTTTCTCTTTCACTCAAATTACCATAAATTTGCATTATTTTTCTTATCAGTTTCAATCTTCTCTCTCTCTCTCTCTCTTCTTCCTTTCCATCATCACCATCATCATCTTCTTTATGCTCACACACCTTTACCAGAACTTTTGTTACCCCACTTACTAGAATATCATCTCCTCTCTTTCAACCAGAATTTGGAAAAAAAAACTCAACATGGTTTCAAGATGATAAGCAAATCAATATTCACACAGGTAACATGATACAATACAATTGGAGTTTGCCCTTAGTTCTTGGATATGATTCAGTGATCGAGATACAGACAAATAAAATCCAATTTGAAAAGAGAACAAAATTTTACTTTTTCTTATTCCAACTTACTGAATTCTCGTTCAATTTAATATTACAACTTACAAGTGTATCTTTCTGGAGAAAGATTTTTACCTTGAAATGAGAACATGTTACCTGAATATAACAATAGAATTGATGAATATTCTTGTTAACTGTATATCATTGAAATTACAACGAAATTCGGGTAAAGTGATGAGTGATTAAATTCCAAATACCTGGAGGCTTTTTTTTTCATTCCATGAAATTTTCCTTCTCCTTGAAATACAATTTCTCGAATTATTTTAATGATAATTTCAAGTGTTTACAGAATTTCTCTCATTTTCTTATTGTTTGTTTATGAATTTCAATTCGTATTCTTATTATTATAACTGTTAATATTTTCTTACTTATCTCATAGGTACTAATGAGATCCTAATTACTTATACCCTGAGGGTAGTGAAAATAAGTTTCCATCAGATTTCAAATGTCTTTACATGAGATTGGTTTATTGTGAGAAATTCAGTAAATATATTGTCATGAACAATGAGACAGAAAACGGAATAAGATTGACATTCAACTGCTTGGAGTAAAATTAAATTCTAAACTGAATTAGAGGGAAAACTTTTCATAAAATAATTGTTCCGAAATTCCAACAGAATCAAATTATCAGAATGAGAAAATTTCACTTTCTTTTAGTTTCAATTTCGAGGTTAATTTCATGATATTTGGTCGCTGTGGCTGATTGATTGTGGATATTTACTATCGATATAATGTTGAGATGATTGATTATATCGAAATGTCAAAAGCATTTTCTACAATTACGATGCTAAGATGAAAATGAAAGAGAAAAAGTGTAAGCAAAAGTTATTTCTCCTTGTCGAATAGTAAAGAAAAAACTTTAAAGATGAAATTAAGAATAAGAGAAGAAAAGAAAAGTTCGAAATCGAACAAAAAACCAAAGTATTATTGCTAACAAGAGAATAATCGAGATGAACATTTTCTCTCTCTCTCTCTCTCTCTTTTCTTTTATCTTCTCTCAGAATAATAACAATACATAAGAGAATGGAAAATAATGGAAAATCAAAACTTCGTAACTGTATCAAGTTGAGTGTATGAAAATAATGGCAACGAAAATAAAAGTAGCAACGATTTCCTTTAGATGATAATAGTAGTAGGTGAAAGTTGGAATGGGTTGAAGGTGCGATAGAAAATGATGAAAATATATTTTTCTTTTATGCCAAGTTATCATTTTCATTGTTTTTCTTTGATGTTTTTTTCTTTTGCCATGGATATTATTACTTTATGAAATTCAATCGAGTCTTTTTCGTTTGGAGTCAAATGCTTACAGTTGTGTCTCATGTGGAAAAAGAGGAAACCTAATTTTCAGGGTAGCCTCAGAGCGAAAGGGAGAAAGAAGATAAACCCATCATAGTGGTTGATTTTTACTCTCATCATTATAATGGTGATGATAATGATGGTGGAAATCAAGAAAGAAAATGAAAATATGTCAACGATAATCAAGTTCTCAATTCTAATAATCAAAATTATGTCAAGTAATGATGATATTCAGAGAGAGAGAGAGAGAGAGATGAAAAAGTTGCTCGATTCTAGTAGTTTAAAGGTTATCTACATTTTGACACAAATTCTGATCTTTTTGAGTAAAACTTTCTCTATTTGATTAAGTCAAGTTGATATTATTAATATATCATAATAATCAGAATTTTATACTTGGTATAATATTAATATAACTTTTGGATATCGTTATTTTCATGTATTTATTATTGAGATGCTGTAGTAACATTTTTACTCTCTCATTTTCAGGTTCATTTTGGGTTAACTCATGAGTTTTAATGGTTCATAAGTATCTTGACTTATGATAAAAATGATGATGGCTCCATATTATCATCTGATGTTGGCTTTTGCATTTGCGAAATCATTTGATAAGGTTTTCTTTTCTTTCTCTCTCTCCATGAGTATAAATACATTAATGGTGATGAGGTGGATGGAGAGAGTGGTTTGTGGAAGGTTTTACTTTCTGGATGAAATTAAGTGTATTCTTGTAGGGAGTGGAGAGGATAAATGGTAGAGTGGAAAAGGTGAAGAGTAGGCCAAGTAAATTTAATAATAAAAGGGTGAAGAATAGGGTGAGTTAAGGAGGGAAATGAGGTAGATGTATGAGAGTGGGAAGGTGAGTGCACATATATATGAGATTCGGGAAATGATCATGATATTAGATAAGAAGATGATATCAAATTGCTGAGAAAATTATATCAGAAGAAACTTAAGATAATCGTGTTTTCTGCTCAACAGAATTCTAGACGAATATGAGAGAGAAAGATAGTGTGAGAGAGAGAGAGAGAGAGAAAGACCAATTCGAGGATAATGAAGAAGATGGTGATAAGGATGATGATCTAAAGTAACTAAAAGAGGACTTTCTTTTCCTCCTCTTTTTTCTCCCTCTTTCACCCGATCATCTTTATCATCATGGTTATCAGAACCTAGTGACCCATAGATCTTCCTTGAATCATCCTCACAATCTTCAAATCATTCATCCATATTGAGTCTCATTTCTCTAACTTCATCTTTTATCTAACAATAATACAAATATAGAAAGAGAGAGAGAGAGAGATTGATGATAATGATAATAATGATTATGATGGTGGTAAAGATGAAGATTTAGTAACAATGATCAAAGATGGATGAAAGTTTCACATATTATTTGAATTGGCGCTTAACAGGGAAGCGTAAGGAAAAAGTTCTGAACCAGGAATATTAATCTTTTCATGGACATGATGAAAAAGGAGAGTAAAAAAGTCTCATGGTGATGACATTTTTACCTATTATCAGTGATGAAGATAAGGAAATGATGATAATCTTTGACGATGCTAAACAACAATAATAAACAGACATTAAACAACGACAACAACAACAATAATAAGAAGATGATATTAATAACAATAATAGTAGCAACCAGAATCGGATGATCAGAAGACAAAGAATAGGAAGATGAAAGAAAAGTTATACTAACACATGGAAGAGAAAGAAAGACAAAACTCATGGAACTGAGGATAGAGATTCAGATTTATCATTTTCTCTTTTCTCTTTTTTTTCTGATATTCTCTCTTTTTTATCTTCTTTTGTGCAAAGAAAATCATTCTCACTACCACACCATCCGCTCTCATTATCAACAGAATCTTCATCATCACAAAGAAGAGAATGAGAGAGAGAGAGAGCAAAGAATATCCATCATTATTCAGTTCATTTAATTCCAAGTATCCGTTGAGATAATTGAGTCGGTGAAGCAATGATAATGATAATGGCGGAAAATTGTAGATACACTGGTGGAAAAAAACAATGACCCACCACCTAGAACTTGTAAACGTTTTCTGAGTAAAGTTCCAGCACAAGGAAAAGTCAATTGATTCTAAATTGAGGTTTATCTCAACATCATCATGATCACACATGTAATTAGTTGATTGTATTCATAGTTTTAGATTAGGCTGAAAATCCTTCAATCATTTAATTCTGGAGATAATTATTCATCCAACTTACCAGGTCTATTCTTGGAGGTGGACATGAGGGTGCTGGAGGTTCTGAGCAAGCATCAACAAATGAACATGAACCAGAACACCAGACACATTGATATTTCCTCTCAGTTGTTTGGCACAATGAACAATCAGGCTTAGCCTGATGACTTCCTAAATGATCACATTTATATAAGGTAACTAAAGAAAAGGAGGTAAAAAAAATCAATCGATTATGATGATTAATTGATTATCCATGATAAACAAACAAGCAATCAATTGATTACTATTCTTATTACCATTTGTTTTATCAATCAAAGTATCTCCATCCCAAAGGACTGATAATTGTGCGTAAATTTTACCAGCATCACTTTGATATGTATACTGTATGGAAAGAAGATGAAATAATTAATTACCATGAGTAAAATTACAGTTATAATATTTGTGAGAAGAGAGAAAAATTAAATTTCTTTCAACAATTAAAGAGACAATTAAAGTTTACCATGTTAGATGAACAGATTATCTTGTCTCCTTTCAATCGAGCTGGAATCCGAGCTCGAGCTCCTTCAATTTCAATGATACATTCAAGATCAGCCTGGAAATAAATTGAATCAATCATTTATTTGGGTTAATTAATTTGTAACAATTAACATGATAAAATTAAATAGTAATAGTAAACAAATTAAGATCCCTTGTAAACTTTTCAATCAAATTGTGTACCAATTGTTTCGTGTGTGTGTTTCTGATTGTTTATTTTACCGATTAACTTAATGCATTACATTTATCCTTTCATTTGATTATTGGAACTTTTTTTTCATCCCTTTCTTTATGTTACTCATGTTTACTTTTATTTCATGATAATATCATCATCATGAAAACATCACAAATGAACAAAGTTTTACTTTATGTATACTTTTCATTCATGTTTTATTGTCAACTGTCAACAACAAAAACAACAACAATAACAAAGTAAAAAAGAGTAACAATGAAATGAAACATGGATGATGATGAAAATTCAATCTACTATTTAGATGAGATTAAATTAATCTAATAAATCAATAGGCAAATAGATACAAAAACAACAACAACAACAATTGGATCAACTAACAATCAAACAATCAAGAGTGTATTTAAAGGGTAATGGTAATGAACACAAGGAATCAATTGATTTACATTTGATTGAATATTGAATATTAATGAAGAGGAAATTGATAAAATCATGTGTATGTAATATTTCATATGATATTCTTACCATTGGATTACCAAAGTTCTGAACATGAATGGTTATCTCACGTTTAGCACCGTTTGGAATTAAAATTTCACGATCGATTCGGAAACTTGGACAATATTCAGAGGCAGGATCAGATGGGGAAGATGATGAAGAGCCAATTGAAAGCTATTATCAAGAGGAAAAGAGAAAGTTTTTCAAAATAATAACAAATTAATGAGAAATTGGATTCATTTGAATGATAGTCGATTCTAATATTTATCAATAAGGTCAACTTACATTCTCACTGGACAGTACATGATGACCTGAACAGAAACTACTATTATGTGTACATATATTATCTTGGATACACCAATTACAAGGCCACTTTGCTTTGACACATGATCGACATCTACATGATTGATAAAGGGGATAAAGTTTCATGAGAAAAGTTCTGAAAATATTTCTTATATTCGGTTATTGATAAAAGTTGATATTCCATTATGGTTATTGTAATAATAATAGAATCAATTTTACTCACGTTTTGTGAACTGAACACTCATAGAAAACAAAAGGTTTCGATATGAAATCTTTTTGAGTTACTGTACTTCGAACTGAAAGATTCACCGAGACATGATCTGAAACATGATATTAGAAAATGAGAAAATGAATTTTTCTTATTCTTACTTTTTTTTGGATAATGGAAAATTTAAAATTCCAATGATAATAAATATGAAATAAAGACAAAGAAAAAATAATGAGCTGATATTTATGATGGAAATAAATTATCTCCATCAGAATCGTGGTTTTTACAACTTAGATTTTCAATCCAATTGAATTTGAATGTTAATTTATCAAGGGAGTTGATTATATGTTATCAAAGATGAGAAGATAAATATTAACATGGTTTAAGAGGTTTTCTTAATATTGATCATTAAAAAGAATCGAGAATCTGATTTTATTCTGGTTTGTACATGAAAATTTCCCATGAAAAACTGAGAAAATTAGTTTTCAGCTTTTGGTTTTCTTTTATGTGTCAAATGAGAATTCATCATGTTTGAAATACTCACCTTTTCCCAGAGGTAATTGCGGCCTTTCGTCCAAGGCTGGAGTTCGACACGAAAGGCCAGTGTGAGTTTGTCGAGCGGGTAAAGGCCTACTTTGGTCACCGAAAAGGCATAAATAAGAGGAATGGAAAGGCGAAGGTGGAAGCTGAGTGATATATAATTCAACCTGAAGGAGAATAAGAAAAAAAGTTTCATTCACCATACATTCAGTATACGGAAATAGTGATGGTCAGTTAACTTACAGTGGACATTGCGGTTAAAGGTAATGAGTTTGGACGAATCTCTTCAAATTCAATACATTGAGGTGTACCCATTGGGAGCCAACGGGGTGAGGTAAATATCTTTTCGGTCATGGACCAACTAATATTATCATCACAATCACTTCGAGCAGTACACCTAAAGACCATTAAAATGTCGGGAAATTAAAAAAAAAATGAATAACAATCGAAAACGTTGAGAATAAAAATCAAAATCTAAAATTACCTGCGTTCTAATGAGCACCAACCACAATAAGGATTGTGTGAATTTAAACAAGAACTACAACTATTATAATGTTGACATCTTTCAATTTTCACTTTGGCAACCTAATTAGATGAGATAGAAAAGTCAATCGAAATGAAAACATTTAAAGATTCACAAGGAATTAGTTGAAAAAACTTGAAAGAAATTAAATTTACCTTGTAGGAAGAAGCGGTAATTACAAATTTATGTGTATGATCAAGTTGAATATCCTTAATTATTGGATTACCTTTATCAATCATGATCTCTTCAAATTCATCAGCATTTTCATGGTTTGATATAAGAACCTGAATGAAAAATAAAATAAAAATTTACCAATTAGTATAAAAAGATAATCAATATAATATATATCAAGATATTAATGGTGAAAATCAAATATTCATTCAATTGTGAACAAATTTAAATGGTAAACGGTAAAAAGCATTTTCTTCAATATTTCAAATGAATCAATTGGGAACAAAAATATCATAATAATAATAATATTTTCATACCACATTTTATATCATTTACATTCATGTGTATAAGTGATAATATCAATACATTTGTTGAAAGTTCACAACAATTTATATTGATGATGATGAGGATGATTGAACTGATACAATTTTACCAATGTAAAAATGATGCTAAATTTATTTATCACTTATACTTATTACTTATTGACTGATAATAATAATAGCACTTTTCAAGCGTTAAATTTGCTTAAACTAATACAATTGTCACTGAATTTTAAATTATATTGATCAAATTTGATTGTTGTTTATCATCATCACCATTCATTGGCAAAACAATGGTGACTTATTATATTAAATCATCACCATGTAAATATAAGCATGAATGAGTTTTCCCCCCCCTTGAATTGAACTTGGGAAGGAAAAATTTACTAATTCATTGAACCTGAAATCCTATGTGAATATCAATACAAACTGATAATTGCAATATTAAGACAGACAATCAATTGATCATCTAAATTATAATCAATATTAGATTTATATTATAATAGTGTTGTAATTAATCATGATTAAGTATTGAAATTTGATTATTCATCATTCATTAGTAATTGATAGTTGTTTAAGTGAATATCATGATTATGATGAATTTTTTTCATAAATCGAAGGAAAAATTTTTCTTAATAACCAAATATTAATATCATTCCAATGTAAGTGGTGTATAATTAATCAATCTAATTGTCAAGGTTAAGGGTTAATTGATTCTCTCTCTCTCTCTCTCTGTCAATTAATAGCTCTTTCTTACTGTAGTATTTTCACCTCATCTTCATCTTCCATCTCCTCCTCGTATCATCATCATCACCACCATAATAATAATAATTATCATCATCACACCAACATCATTAGACTTTGAATGTGTACATAATATTTGACACTTTTTTTCATCTCCCTTTGTGAATAATTGACTGAATAAATAGATGAGATAAATGAATGGAACAAGAAGAAGACAGAACAAAAAGTTGAGTCTAGCTGAGGAAAAAGTTCCAAACTTAGAGTTTAAATTGACTGAATGAATAATAATTCTCATGCCTTGAGAGATGATTCACCATGAAAGAAAATATCATGTAGAGATAACATATTACATTACAATACAAAGTTCTATACCCATGATACTGAAACCATTGAGATAATTCATTGTTAAGTATAATAAGAAACCCTTAATCAATGGTTTCCTAAATGATAATCCATCTTACCATGGAGATAAACCTCTAATACATTTTCTCATGGTAAATGAAATTTGTGAAAACTTTGATATCAAATTATCATCAAGAAAATTGAATGAATAATTTATAAATATATAATTGTAAACTCTTTGATTCCAATTGCATTGCAATTGATAATAAATTACATGAATCATTCAACATTTTTGGGCTGAATCTTTTTCTTACAGATAATTAATCAACTATCATCATCATCATCATAATCATTTGCAATATAATTAATTGTTGTTGCATCAATGGTTAGTTTTTTTTGTGTTATTGTGGTTTCTAGGGTTGGGATTTTTGTGATTACAGTTGGGAAACTATTCTGATTGTAATGACCATCTCTCTGAGTAATAATCATCTTGTGAAAGGACAATTAGGGATTTTATCACAATCCACCCACAAATTACGATGTAACAGTAGTTTTAGCAGTGGTAGTGACCAATGGTCATCATGGTTCACCTAATTTCTAATAAATTGTCATCAAACCCTAAAACACAATAACGACTTCATTTGCTTAACTCTTTCCACCATGTAATCCATTACTCCACCTTCAACATCCTCTCTCTACCTTCTCTCCCACCACCTAATTTTTTTCTTCCTCTGAATCATTTTCCACCATGATAATTGTTTCATCATCTCATGATATTTTTCATTGAAATGTCCAGTTAACTATCAATTCTAATTTGGTTCATTAATTAAGACCATCAACTTATTGAAATTTGTCACCAGAAAGTGAGAAAAATCAAAAATTGATTAATTGAATCAAAATCTTTCACCATATTGGACAATTAGGATTATACTCAACATTAAATTGTTAATCAATTGACTAACATGTTAATATAATCCTGGTACAATCAGTTAATTGTGAGATAAAGTACAAAAAAAATCAAAGCGATATTTAAAGTTTTACTCAATCCAATTTTAAAACAGTCAATAAATATAATTAACTTTATAATTGTTCAACGATACATGTAAACAAATTAATTCGTTAATTGTAAACAATTAATGAGACAAAGGTATTAATAGAATACAAAATAATACAAAAAGATATAACTAATCAATGTGATTAAGGGATAATCTTGATTGAAACTTTACCTTCCTCATCTCTCATGTAATAATAAGATAATATGTATATATCTGGTTAATTAATGCAATTGCTCAATTAATTAGCCAAAGACAAAGCTCCTAATTATCAATTTTAATCATCATCTTCTTATAGTTTAATCCCTTTCTGTCTAATACAAAGGTAATATTATTATCATCATGCTATTACATCATCATCATCATCACTATCGTCATTATAATCAGAAGCTTTAAAAAAGTTTCCATAGATAATCATGAGCCGATAGTAAAAAAAGTTCAGAGATTCATTCATGATGACACATGATTGATTATCTTCATCATCTTTTGCATATTTGCATTGTCATTATAAATGCGAAAATAAACTAGAGCGAAAATGTCACCCCCACTCTCCACCTTCATCTTCATCTTCATCCTCATCTCACTTAATCATCATCACCCAAGTTCTGGTTACATCAGAGTTATTTTTCGCTCTCTCTCTCTCTCTCTCTCTCTCACTTCATCTTCATAATGTCAATAAGATGAGAGAACGATAATCAACTAGCTAATTATCAGAAATTCATTTTTTTTTCTCGTTCTCAAACATAAATTTCAATTTGTGCAACCAAATCAATCAATTAATTTAAATTGTGACAAATTATTGGCTCTGGTCTGGTTATTTTTTTGTCTAATTGAAATGACATCTTCCTTACAATAACTGTTAGACTTGTCATTTTGAGCAATTTGTATTAATCATAATTGATCATTCAATTGATTAGATAAACTATTATCATTACTGATTGTGTCAGCAAAAGTAAATGATTAGAAAGTATTTAAATTGTAGACAATTAATTAGCTAAGATGGTGGATAATGAGTCAGAAAATAATGAATCGTTCATGTTGAATAACGTTTCATGTGTGCGATTGTCAGTTGAATGTATAATTAAAAGTTTCGTTTGCATAGGAATTAATGATGAGAGCAAGAAGAAGAAGAAGAAAAGAAAAATACAATTATCATCAATGGGAGAAAGAGGAGATGATGAGGATGGAGATAAGAAGATGGTGAGGAAGAGGAAATGAAAGGAACTGTTTACTTTTTTACTCCAACTTACTTGTGTGTTAATTGATCTTTTTTAATTGGATCTTTAGAAGTGAAGATTTTTAAACTGTTCTTTTCTTTTTTATCTTCTTTTTCATCTTTGATGAGAGAGAAATAAAAGACTAACAAGATGATGGAGATAATGATGATTAAGCTGGAAAGGTAATGTTTCTTTTCTTTACGTGAAGATGATGATGAGGAAAATGAAGATATTGACTCAGAAGAGACAAAGATGATAAGAGATGTAAATATAATTCAGTGATTTTCAGGGTATCATGGAATCGAGAAGATGAATTTCTCCTCTCTATTTCTCTCCCTCTCTCTCTCTTTTCATACTTGCAATTTTTAGGGGTAAATAATAGATGAAGATGCTGAGATGAAAAGTAAACGATAAAGACAATGATGAGGGTTTTTTTCATCTTCTAAGTTAACAGAATGCAAAAACTCAGCATATTTTTAGTTTACCTTTTTTTTCCTGCATGAAAAACGTTTAGCATCCTCATCTCTTATCATCATTTGCATCTTCTTCATCATCACTGTATTTTTTTCCTCTCATCTCCATTTTCTAAGAATCTTTTTCTTTCATCCTTATTCGACTATTACACCTCCCTCACCTTCATCATTCCTCTTCTTACAATCGATTAGAATCTCTTCTTGTCTCCAAAAGAAACTTTCTCTCTTTCTCTCATCTTCCTCTCTTCATCTTCTTCTCCATTATCATTATCATCTCTATTGTTTTTCTATCAAAAGAGAAACAAAAAAAGAAGATGCATAATCTCTCTCTCTCTCTCTCTCTCTCTCTCTCTGATTCTCACCCAGAATAATCATTATCATCCTCCCTCTTTACTCCCATCATCTTCATTGTCATTACAAAACAATCAAAGAAAAACTTTTACTATCATTAAAAAATTATCTTCATCAATTATTTTCCATAGATTTTATTAATTTTAAAGTCTAATATCATCATCGTTTTTAATGATTAAACAATTACAGAGACAAACATTTACAAATTGACATCATCAGTATTATCATGAGAAACAATTAATAGATTAATCAATTTGTTTATACAACAATCATATTGATCTTGTATTAATTATTAATAAATTGTACACAAAGGTAAACATGAAAACTTTATTACTAATATTATAAAGTATCAATGATGATGAATCTGATTATTGTTTATCCTGATAATTCAATTGAGACAAACTAATAATAATCTAATCAAGTTGATTACCCTGAAAACCCAATAACTTTAAACCTCCAATACAATTGAAGTAATTTATCAAATTAAATTTAAATTCTCATTTTATTTTCACTGTTACCACAAAACTTATCCAATGTTTATTCATTCATGATTATCATTCACCTGCACTCCCATGAACACATACACACACACACTATGGGAATTAATCATATAA